TTATTCATTTTGTGTAAAATAGATGAAAGTAAGAAGAGCAATCCGCCGTTCCTAGTAGATGCGGATTACCATACTTGCTGCTCTATTTTTGGAACCCACCCAATTGGGGTGAAAAACAGATAAGTAAATTAATTTTACTCGCTGCTAAAACTGTAGCTACTCTAGCAGAACCCGACTATTTTTTTGGCGCCTTTCCAGAGAAATACTATATTTTCACTGCAATCCCCTTAAAATAAAACATTCTTCAAAATATGATTGATAGTAATTTTTTATTTGTTTTTAATGAAAATGTGGAATAAATAGAAGAAAAAAGGGTAGAAGAAGAAGGGGATGTAGGAAAAGGAGAATCAGACAAAATACTTGTTGATTTGAAATCTCAAATTTACTTAAAAACCCTTGTGTCGAACAAACAACGTAGCCTTGCTACGCTCCAGAATATGAATCCGGAACATTGAAGCAGGCAATAGAGATAAGAGCGATTACATTTTAAAATGAAGTCAATAAAATAAATTTAAATGATTAAGTAAATACGCAAGTTCTGCAAAAAAGCGATATAGGGTACGAGCTAGTCAATTAAAATTATTCAAAGTTTAGAAAGCGAGTTATACTAACCACCAATCAACATGTCTGTCTCAAATTTTAGGATAAGTAGATTCTTCTGTGTGTTATGGTGAACCATAAATGCCACAGGTCGATATTGGGTTTCATTCACTCCAGTTAATGAAATAATATTTAAAATATGCCTAAGAGGTAAATTTCATAGTATTACAATTATGAATATCCATGCCTCAACAGAAATAGCAGATGAATTATGGTCTGTTTTTTAACCAGGAGGAGTAATTCTAATTTTCCGCGCCGTAATGCTTGTTTGCAATTGGTCCAACCGCAGGCAAGTTTACTCCACTAAATTATGACATATTGACACTAATGACATTTGTGAAATTTATTTATTATTATTATTTTCCACTAATATATAAATCGATTTCTGACTCTTTAAGTTGTTTGTAATAACTTGGACTTGGCGATATGCGAATAGTATTTAATGTGATATTTTTCTAGATGATATTTATACTAAATATAGTTTAAAGTGTTTATAAATTTATAAATGTATGTTATTTATATCTAATTATCATAAGAAAAACGGCAACTATCTTTTAAATTTAGTGTATACTTGTTAAGAAGTATTTCCATTTTGTTTTCATCACAATAAAAGAACATTAGTAAAGTAATATTGTGTTTTAGTATTGTATGATACAGTTGGTTTTGTTCTTCCGGTTTGTAGATCATCACAAGAAAACTGCAAAATTATGCAATAATGTAACATAATAGATTGGATTTGTTGATTATCTCACAGAAATCCAGTATTTTTTAGTAAATTAAAGAAGAATCCAGCATTAAAGAAATTGTAAGTACACACTTATTTATACAAAGTATCTGGTAAGGAAAAAAACTAGATTCAAGAAATTGATCATACCAGAATAAGAATATGTTTTACTATTAAAAGACAAATTTCTGAGAATAACCATACTTAGATCTGTAACATTATTGACTCTCCCGATCAAAATATTCTCCATCGACTTAAGAAATTATAATTAAATATCATAGACTTAAGAGATTTATAAAACTGGATCACCCGATATTTAAATATATATACATGGAACCAAATGTGAAAAACGTCCTTTTTTTATTGTAATATATATTGGAAGTGAATTGAAAAAAATTATTTTATTATTCAAACATAAATAAACAAAGTTAGGTTAAAATTGACGTGAGGTTGTCCAATATTGATTACTCGATTAGCGCAAGACCGAGATAATCAACAACAAAAGAAGATGTATTTGGTGACTTTTCTAGTATCTTTCTTGAGTGTGAATCTGTCTTTTTGGTTTACTCCTCCTGATCCTGGTTAAAAAAAGAGTATAGTAACCGATCAATTATACGACCAGCTACAAGTAGAATGTGAAAACGTAGGTACAAAAGGGAGATGCAGATATAGTCCTGGGTGATATGAACGCCAAGTTGAGAAAAGGACCAATACGTGCAGAATCCTTTGGTAAGCATAGTTTACATGATATACCCAGCAACAACGGTATCTGAGTGGCATAGTTGGCAATGTCAATACACTCAGAGTAGTTAGTACGTATTTCCCAGACAAAAATATTTATAAAGGAACCGACATAATATTGGAAATTGCCAATAAGTAATAAAAAGCAAAAATACAGCTAGGCAGAAAAGTCTACAAAGAAATTCCCAATTGAATAGAAGGGCATATGAAGAGCTAAGAAGGGATGCAAGGAGAATTTGTAGAAATAAAAAGTGAGAAATTTGAAATATAAAAATCCAACAAATTACAGACTATAATTACAGAAGAGAGACTAGGAAAGTTTAGAAGAAAACCAAGCGATGCACTCAATGACTCATGACAAGAACAATAATGTGCAAGAAAAAAAACGTAGCAATTATCAAAGATAACGAAGAACTAATGAAAAGGTGGAAGAGCATTTTCAAGAGCTCTTAAACCCAGAAAAAAAAAACAAAACCAAGAAGAAATAATTCATCACATAGCAGAACAACTAGTTAAGGGATCAACATTGAAAGAAACTATATAAGTCATAAAACGTCTGAAAAAATAACAAAGCGCCTGGCACATATGGAATAACTGCAGAACTGATAAAGAATGGTGGACATGTGCTATGGAAGAGAATCCATAAACTAATCTGCCGCATATCGAGGCTCTAAAAGTCATCTCAGAGGATTGGAAATCATATTTCCTATGTACAAGGGGGGAGACAAACGACTCTGTGAAAATTATAGGGGCATAACAATGTTAAATGTCGCATACAAGGTATTATCAGGAATTATATACAGCCGCCTTAAATCATTATCAGAAGAAGTAATTGGTGAATACCAATGTGGTTTCAGATAAGGTCAACTATAGACCAAATACATATGTTAAGAGGTATACATGAAAAAGTGCTGAACGTAATATATCAATTTACAACTAATGATTACAAACAGACGTTTGACCTGTTTGACATGTTAGGAATACCGAAAAAGTTAGTTAAACTTATACAAATGACTTTTGGTGGATTCCAAAGCCATGGTGAGGATAGATGGAAATATGACAGAGGCATTTCATATTCAAAATGGAGTTAGGTAAGGTGATGCCTTATAAACAACACTTTTTTTAAATGAAAAAGCTATACATTTGAAACGAAAAGCCGATGCATTTGGTTTAAATATAAATGAAAGAAAAACAAAATATATGGAGTCGAATCGACATAAGAATCTGAATGTAGACAACCATACCTACAAATATGCCTACACCTTTCCATACATACGCTCAATAATAAATGACAGCAACAACGTCAGTCAAGAAATAATAGCACATATTCTTAGCGGTAATATGAGTAAGTGCTTTTATGTATACCATCGAGTTAGATTCTAACTCGATGATGTATACAAAGACTTAATGAAAAGTAAGTTACTGAATCGTGAGTCTACGTTTAGAATCTAAAACACAGTAATTAGATCCGTGGTCACATATGGATGTGAAATGTGGACTCTTTCAACCACATGAAAAAAATTAATTGAGAATATTTGAGCACAAAATATTAAGAAAGATATTTGTAGTGATAGTTCGTGGAAAATAAAAATGAACTATGAGCTGGATGAATTAAAGCAGAGCGCAGATATCGTTAGATTTGTAAAGTCACAAAGACTAAACTGGCTTGGCCATTTAGAAATACTCGAGCTGTAAAAGTAATCCAGAAATGGAAACCCCAAGCAAATAAGACAGAAGAAAGGCCTGTACAGGGTGGATAGACGATGTAGAGGAAGATCTTAAAACCATGAACATCAGGCAATGGCGAAGGAAAGTATCCGACAGGGCAGAATGTTGTTAAGCCGGCCTAGGCCAAGACCCACAAAGGGTTGTAGCGACATTGGAAATATAAGAAGAAGATTCTTCTGTATAAGCAGTTGGAAAATGACTCACACTTTTTAAAAATTTATTGTAGTGTCCAGATAGTACAAAAGAGTATAACTGAGTATAAGGGACAGTGAGAAATTCCTCGCCTGGGCTGATATTAAAGATTATGGATTTAAATTAAAATTTAAACTAAAAAAATTACTTTACATGCATTATGATTTCGAAAAAGTTTGATTTAAAAAGATTAGGAGATGGGGCGTGGCGCCTTTCGATTAGAGTTAAGGATGGAGCTATTTTTTAGACAGTTTGATTGCCATTCGATTTTTATATCAAGAGGGACCTATTTTTATGCAAAAATAATTCTCGCAACTTTAATCCTGTGCTATGATTTTTAAATAGAGCTGATATTCAAATGACCCATAATTTAGAAACGGTTTTTATTACTTACACAAAGGTTTTTAATATTTTTTTAATTCAAGATATAATATTCAATTTAAGGAATACAACATAGAAACAAAAAAACATTTTATTTATTAGCCATAGTTATGATCGGATTCAGTCAACAACATCGAACGAGAAGCACCGAGAAGTAAGCTGTCCAGTCCAAAATGAAGGTATTGAAGTTGCAGTTTTAGGTCATTTGCAAATGGATCCCAGTTGTCTATCAGAAAAATATTGGAAGCTTCTGGTGGTTGACACACCAGAAACCTATAAATACAATTTTAAAAACACATCAATTTCACCCATATACAAAATGACACAAGTTGAAGAGTTAAACGAACATGATTCTGACGAACATTATATTGATGTATTCTTACAGTAGGCACTTAAATTTATGTTGTTTTTTGTGATTTTTAAAATATACCTAACTATTAGTCATACCATTATCTTTAATTTTCTGAATCAAAGAGTCGTATTGCTTTTTGTTGCTTCTAATGATTGCATTAGCGCCATCTAATGATGAAATATTGCTGTACAAAATGAACATTTTTAACATTATTGTTGAAAGTGTTGCCAACAATTGAAAATCAATTAAATTCCAATGTTGGTATTATTACAATGTTTTGACTTTTGTACCTAAACACCTAACCTAACTTTTTTTACAAAATAAACATTTAATTTTAAATAATATAAATATTTATTATTATGGCAGAACATGCTGCAAATTTTACATTTACCTATCAGAATACACCAAGTATATTAGAAGTTATTGCTCAACATTCCCTAAATGAAACCTTGCATCCAGCTCTACAAAGACTTGCTTTGGTAAAATTTTACTTTTTTAGTGATTCTGTACTAAATGACTTGTTTTAGGTGCTTTCGACAAATATTCCGCAAAAATTTGGATGGTTAAATAAGTATTTCGAAGAAACTTTTGTTGTGTTGAATGGTTTATTACAATATCATTATTTAGCTCATTATGGTAAATATTTTAGGTTTTAGTGACTGTGTTACCTTAATTTGATGGCAGTTATGATCAGTTTTTGGTAATTTGTAGATGCATCATTTGCTGAAAACTTTTATGGACTGAAAAGGGTATCTTCCAATGGTGATGCCATAACCAAAAGGCATAGAGAATTGTCTTTAATATTTTTAATTGGTATTCCTTATTTTAAAAGGAAAATAGATGAAAAAGTAGCTATTATAAGGATAGAAAATGCTGAAGGCTCTATACGAAAGGTATGCAAATGGTAAATTAAAAACCAAACAGATAAGACAGGTGTTAAAAGATTTGCTTTATTGTAGGATTTTGAAGGCACTGTGAAAAAACTATTACTATTTGCACATTCCACATTTGAATTATTGTACGGGCTACTTACAATACATAACTATATAAGATATATGGCACAGAACACAGAATATCAGACACCAATATATCAATTAATAGAAAGTAAATTAGTATACAATAAAGATATTGAAGACTACTCAGGATTTTGGACATCACTATTCAAAGGCAGTTTAAGGTAACTACTTAGTTGCAGAACTTCATCAAAATTTAAAGGCTTATTATAAATTTATTTTAAATCTCAGTTTGGTTGATGTATATGATAAATAATATTAAATATATACATTGTTGTATACAATATCTTGGGATACTGATATATTTTTATATTCAAGTGGAAAGTTATAGCTTCTAGCATGCTTCAAAAACTATTTTATGTGAAAACTGACTATATGCTTTCCTTAGTTGATAATATTTCGCCATACTGCTGCAGCTTTTATTTGTAATGTGTTTAGTAATCATCTTATACCCACTTATAGCATTTGTTCTTTTTTATGTTTTGTTGTATATGCCTGTAATTCAATCAGAAGTAGCAGGCACTGTGCTTGAATTTTCTTTAAAACCAAATTGCCTGTTAAACTAATAGCTGGATGAGTCAAAGAATTGTACAATTTGCAAATTTACACATGATTCCCAGATCTTTGACAAGGGTGTTAGAAGTATTTTAGTTAGAGCTGTTTCAATTATTTTTAAGCTTTGAGTCCTCTCCTTTACACAGTGATATCGCTATAACTATTTTGAATTGATCTTGTATATTTCACCTCTCATCACATGTTCGGGATATTGCAATTTCCTTTCTTTTATTGTATTTTCCATTTCCCTCTCTCTGCCTATTCTTCTTAACACTTCTGTATTCGTGACTCTATCTACCCATGGAATCCTTAACAATCATTTAAATGTCCACATTTCAAACACATTAAGTTGATTTATTGTATTCTGGTTTATTGTCCATGATTCAGCTCCATAGTAGAGTACACTGTGTACATAGCATTTAATTAGCCTTATGAGGGCCAATGTCAGATCTTTGCTGCATAAAATCTTTTTCATTTTCACGAAGTTGGCACATGGTTTTTTAATTCTGACTCTTATTTCTGCAGTATAATCGTTATTTTCCATGATTATCGTTCCCAAGTAAGTATATATTTTTACTCTCTCAATCTGCTGGCCACCTACTGTTAATATTTCATTTGTATTGTTGTTCTGGCTAATTTTCATGAATTTGGTTTTTTTGATGTTAAGCGAGAGTCCATATTCTCCACTATATCTTAATATTTTGTTCATTATTCTTTCTAAGTCTTCCAAGTTGTCGGCTATTATGACTGTATCGTCGGAATACCTAATGTTGTTAATTAAACTTCCACTCACTTTGATGCCAACTGTCTCGTTTACTAAAGCCTCTTGTGTGATTTCTTCAGAATAAGCATTAATCAATAATAGCGTTAGTATGCAACCTTGCCTGACCCCTCTTCTTATCTCCACTTCTTCTGACACTTCTCTTCCAATTTTCACATTTGATCGCTGGCCGTAGTATAAATTTGATATCAATGTTACATCCCTCACATCCAGATTCTTGTTTTTGAGTACATACTTCTATAAGTTGCTCATGTTTTAGTTTCATGTTTCAGCTTAATGTGTATTCTATTATGGATGATTTTTAACGGGGTTTTTAAGGTATGTGACATTAGACTGATTGTTCGATAATCACTACATTCTTTGGTAGACAAATAAATGTTGATGTCAGCATTTCACGTGGAATGATTCCTGTGGAACCTATTGTATTCAGGAGTTGGACTAAAAGATCTATGTTTTTTTCATTGACCAGTTTTAGCAATTCACTTGGTATTTCATCTGGACCAGCAGCTTTGTTATTTTTCATGGATTTTACTGCATGCATAACTTCTGACTTTGTTATTTCGGGTCCCTCGTTTTTACTCTGATTATCTTCATATATATTTTCCTGTCTCTGGTCATGGAATAATTTCTCTATATATTCTTTCTATCTTCCTAATTTTTATTCCGTCTCCATTAAAATGTTTCCTTTTGTCCAATAGTATACTTGAGGTTTTTTGTTTCGCTACCCCAGCTAATTCTTTAACTTTCTTATGGAGATTGAAGTTATCATATTTGTTTTGTAAGTCTTCTATTTCTTGGCATTTTCCAGCGAAATAAGTCTCTTTAGCTTCTCTTATTTTCCTTATTTGATTATGCAGCTGTTGATAATGAGTTATGTTGATATTCTTTTGCCTTCTTCTGTCCTCCATCATTTCAAAGATTTCTTCTTTTATCCAATCTCTTTTCTTGCATCAGGTTGTTGTGAGTTCTCTGCGACTTGGTTCGATAATTGCATTTTTAAAGAATTTCCACTGTTGTTCTACATCACCATCAATTGATTCCGGTGTGGATTCTAGGTTTGCATTAATTTCTTGTTTCAGTTTTTCTTTGACGCCTTCTGATTTTAATTTTTGTATGTTTATCACTTTTGTAGCTTTTTTGTATCTTTTTTAAGTGAAGTTGGAATTTTGCTAAGTTGTGTACGCTTTCACCGATTGTATTGCGTTTCGGTATCTGGTTTATTAAAATATAGACAATTTGGTTTCTAACGATTTTATCGACCTTGTCAGCTGGCGATTTCCAAGTGTAAAGGTATCGTTAACGCAGTTTGAAGAAATTATTCATTACCGCAAGATTATATTCTAGGCAGAATTCTATAAGGTGTTCTCTCTCATTTCGAGTCCATATGGTCCATATACAGTAGACCTCCAACTTTGGCCTCCTACTTGCTTCTCCAACTTTGGCGTTAAAATCACCCTTGACTACTAGTATATCTCTAGATGTATTTTGTAGGGTTTTTTGAAGGTCATAGTAAAATTTTTCAATTTCTTCCTCTGTTTTATTGGCGGTTGGCTCATAAATCTGAATAAGGTTTAATTCCCATGTGTTGTCATCATTTGTATTAGCATAATTCTCTCCGATATTGGTATAAAGCCTACAACTGATTTTGCAACTTTTTTACTGACATTAATTGCTACTCCATGCCGATGTTGGCTGTCGGTATTACTAGAGTAGAAAAGTCGATCATTGGTTGTACTTAGATCGTCGGAGTCAAGCCATCTTGTGTCACCTATTCCCAATATGTCGATTTAAGTCGCATTATTTCTTGTTCTATGTTCCTTAGTTTACCAGGCTCATACATGCTTCTAATATTCCATGTCGCTATTTTAAAAGTTGAATTTTGTATTTTTAGTACGCAGGGATTTCGTTGGTTAACGACCTAAGGAGCCCTGTCATCATTGTTATTTCTCCTCCTGCCAAATCTTGGTATCCGAGAACTATGATTAGTACGGTGATGCTTGTCACTAACTGCCATGACGATTTCTAGGGCTACTCTACAAGTCTTTAATGCAGTGGTTCCCCGTTGCCTTCTGCATCCTTATGCCGTTAACCATTCCTTGGTTGATCTGCCTTCTAGATAGATTCCTCTATCTCAGAACAAAAGAGTGCCCTTACATCTACCAGCTCGTCCGCCCGAAACCGTTGGCCAGTATTGGACTTGATTCTATATCAACGCACCGTACCGAAGTTTTGATTTTCCGCCGTGGCTGCCGTTGTGGACTTCATCCGTATCGGGCCCTAAACAGGTACTAGTTTCTCGGGTCAGGAAACCCCCGGAATTTGCGGAGAGCAGGGATTGATTCATTTTCTCTGATAGGACTATCTTCAAGAATTTAAAGAGTTCCTACCCGCTACCCACAAAACTCATACGGACTCTTAAATGACTCAAATATTTACAAATTTTACAGAATGAGATCATTCCGGCAGTTCGACGTCTTCTCGTTAATTTTCAGGAGGTTTATTTCCAACAGGATGGGTGTTTGGCTCACAACTCTAGAGCAACCATTGACTTCCTCAATCAAACGTTTCCTGATCGTTTGATAAGTACACGCCGTACAATTAAATGGCGCGCTAGATCCTGTGACTTGGCTCCTAACGTTTTCTTTTTTTGCGGTTTTCCCAAAGAAAACATTTATAGGCACCAGTTTGAAATGGCCACAAACCTAGTCGAATTAAGGACAAAAATACTTCATTTCTCTCCAAGCATTACACTAGCCCTACTCCAAAATATGAGGAGAAATCTATATGACATATTTGGTTACTGTTTAGCACAAGGAGGTGGAATATTTGAGCCCTTAATTCATTAATCTGCTTTTATAATTTTTATTTTTTGGTGAGTACATTTTACTAAGTTTGTAGGTTCTTAATTAGGTAGTATTTTTTATGTTTAAGTTTGGAAGAATTTTGTTGTTGTTTTTTATTTAAAAGTACAAACGATTCTTATTCTGATTTTTTTTTCTTTCTTGTCTTATTGTTATAAGCTTTGTCCATAAAATTTATACAATTTTCAGTGACAATAAAGCATATTACTTATTTACTTACTTATTTATTTGTATTGCTATTAAGGCTAAAAAATAACCAAAAAATTAGTTTTAGAGCATTATAATAAATATACTCTAGAGATGGGATTGCAATAAATCTTAATTCCTCTGGTTAACAAAATAATGTCGTTATCTGTATACAGATAACCTAAAACTCGTTTGTAAAACGAGTATAATGTAAAAATAAATAGTAAGTGGAGTATTCACTTCCAGAATGCAGTTTTTTTCTAGAGGAAAATAGACCGATTTCATGCAGTTTCAATCTAAAAAGTGTAAATTTAAATATATTTAGTGTAATGTAAATTAACCTCTTTATTAAGTTTTATATGAAAGTTTTGTTTTTGGGTGAATTGGATGACATTATAAATAAAGAACACTACACATAGAGAGGGTACATATATATATATATATATATATATATATATATATATATATATATATATATACTTCTAGCGGTTAATGTAGGCTCCGTAATAAAAGGGTATTATACGAACTCCAGGAGAATATACGCCGTGTATATTATTATCTAAGTAGCGCTTTATGTAGACTCCGACCAACACGTCGGATCAAGTGGACTCTGTAATAGGATAAAACATTTTTGGGGCCCGTATATAACTTTTCGCGTACACTTCTAAACTCCTGCGATGTTGCCAATATTAGTATTAGTAGTAGATTTTAAAATTTTATAGCCAGTACATTTTGGAGCTTATTATTTTCAATTACTTTATTAATTACAATTATTTTCAAA